CTGATCTAATGAAGTAAAAGAAAGCTTTAGGAGAATGATCCATTTGCAAATCATCAATAACGAAGAATGATACACAACACCCCGGTTTGAGTATAAACAGAGGGAAGCCGAATATTAAATACCAATCTGAGTGACGAGGTGAACCAGAGCAGCTGGTTTCTCTCGAGTCTATCCTCCTTGTCATTTATAAATCAGAATGCATACATCATTTGGAATCTAGGTATGTTTGGGTGTTGATGTCAATAACCGTTTGAGCTAAATATTGATGATGAAGAAAGCATTAGGACAAGCAGAGAAACAGAAGAAAGATACACACAATAAAAAACCAAAGTCGAAAGGATCATACATAATAAAAAACCAAAGTCTTTCCACATAAGATAAAACAAAGGATCATACATAATAAAAGGTGAGATAGATTGGTATTGTCGAACCCTGCATAAGCACCACGCGGATCCGATAGGCTTTCATCAAACTATTAGGCCATCTAATAGGCTTCTCAAAGGCAATACCGAGCTTTTATAACCATGAAACTCCTCTGGTTCGACGACTTCATCAGGCAGTGCTACAAGGACAACATTGAATTTCTTCGATTTCAAGTATTCAAGAACATGGAGGAGCAACGATTCTTCTAAGATGCCTTTTGCTATTACGAACAGATTCGATGGTTCACGAGTGTCCATTGCCCAGAAAAGAATGTCCATTATCATTTTATTAATGAGAGTAGATCTTTCTCCTGAAATCATATATAAACGGAGATCAATCAATATATTGCACAGAGAAAAGCGTGCTAAGAGGAAGGAATTCACTCACCTTGGACAAAGACGATTCGGGAACCAGAACAGTCTCGCGTACCGTCCTCATCAGCATAAGCCGTGATTGACAAATTACCAATTAAGCACTTTCTACGAAGAGAATATCTGATCTTCTCATAAATCCTGTCACTATCAACATCATCAGAAATTGGGACATCCACCATGTCCCAAAACACGCCTATCTCAGCCACTGCCAAGTTTCACCAAAACGGAAACGGATAAGCAATTACCAAACAGAGAAAAACAAGATTTTAGAAATAGCGAGAGAGAGAGATCTTACAGCGGAATTCACTTGCCATGGTTTCGACCAACAATTTCGAAAAATTAGGGTTCGCTTCTTGCTTCTTTAGAGAATTGCTCTAAAATGATATAATTCTATTTTGGTATATGGTCATCTCCTACCTATTAATCTATTTTTTACTCTAAAAATATATTTTTTCTTTTAATTTGATTATTACTAAAAACTACACATTTTACCTAATTATTTAAAGTTCAATAATAATTCACTAAAACTAATTATATGTCATCGTAGTTGAAATATTAAATCATCTTTGCATTTTAATTATGTCATGGTTACAATTTTTTATAATCGTGGATTTTATTACATTTATTAAATTAGACTCGTTAATAACATTAACATTGACAATTATGTCATTGTTGATCAAATTTCTTTGTCTGACTTTAGATTGGAAAGTAAAAGTTGGATTTATATGTGTGATTTGAGTTATCAATATTTGGATTTGTGTCAAAGTTTTATGCTTTTTTATTCTCTATTCTTGC